TAAAATTTCACCCACGATATGTTTTAAATGTTTGAATCAATTGCCTACTGTTACAAACCAGGCAGTTTGCTTTTTTTTTTTTTTTTTTTTTTTTTAAATTGCATTTCTGGCTTCTCTCAGAAAGAAAGAAAGAAAAAAAAAAGGGATCTGGCAGCAGAACTACAATCCTTCCTGGCACAACTGGCCAAGTAGCAGAGGCCCCCTCTTTTTGGGATCCATGCTCTCCATTAAAAATGTTTCACTTATATTTCCGGCTTGGCCCCTTGGCTTAGAAAATTTTTAAAAAATGATATTTTGAGCAGCCCCCAGTTTTCTTCAGTGGAGAAGGATAAAGCTAGAAATATTTGTTGGAGTCTGATCAGGAAAATCAAGGTGAAGGGCGTGGCTTGTACTCTGAAAAGCCTTTCTAGGGCTTGCTGTTGTCCACTGGGAAACCACAGGGTTGATACCCGCATAGAGGGGACTGGGCTGAGAGATCACAGGGCTGCATGGCTTGGCCCAGGTCTTATGGTGGACAAATGACAAAGTAGGGGCCAGGCTGGGATTTGAATGAACCCAAGCAAGTTATTTCAACTTGGATCTGAAACACACTTTTGGCTATCTCACACTACCACCTCTGTCTCTCACAGCAACCCAGTTTCACAACGTGGTAAGCAGTGACAGGTCATGGTCAGGCAGAGGGGTACGGTGGTTATACTGAGGGCTCCACCACTACCATGGAGTGTAACAAGTGGCTTGCCCTCTCTGTGCCTCCGTGGGCACTTCGAAGGGTGCATCAGATCTAGAATGCTGGCAACTCCAGGATGGACACAGCTGGGGGTGGTTGCAATAGAGGTGGTGATGGGCAATCAAAGACTTGTTGGCCAGACGCGGTGGCTTACGCCTGTAATCCTAGCACTTTGGGAGGCCGAGGTGAGCAGATCACTTGAGGTTAGGAGTTTGAAACCAGCGTGGCCAACATGGTGAAACCCCATCTCTATAAAAAATACGAAAAAATCAGCCGGGTATGGTGGTGGGCGCCTGTAATCCCAGCTACTCAGGAGGCTGAGGCAGGAGAATCGCTTGAACCTGGGAGGCGGAGGTTGCAGTGAGCCGAGGTCGCACCACTGCACTCCAGCCTGGGTGACAGGGCGGGATCCAGAGAAGGCAGTCTGGAGGAGGCATGGCTTTGGAAGACGTGAGTTCAGTTTAGGACACGGGAAACCATAGGTATCTACGGGACTACAGGAGGGGAGGGCTGGGGCGGGGTGACAGAGGATGGACGTCCCCCTCCCACGCGTTGAAGATAGGAGTCAGGTAGGGCCCTCTTGTAGGAGGGGGCGGGGAGCGCGGCGCCCGGCGGCCCCTTTAATCGGGGGCGCGC